TGAGTCTGGAGAAGAAGATTTTTGAAATATTGGATAATTTTCCCTTTGGGGCCCCGCCCTGGCCCCAGGGGTTGGGGTAGGAATCCCAATTTTACAATTTTGAAGCCTCATCTACCAAGGATGATTCTGACCAAGTTTGAAAAAAATCCATCCACTGGTTCTTGAGAAGAAGTTGAAAATGTAAAAGTTTACGCACGACGGACGACGACGGACGAAAAGCGATTGGAATAGGTCACTTGAGCAAAGCTCAGGTGACCTAAAAAGTCGAAGATAACGTTTATAGGACAAAGTAAGGTTTTCGTTACCAGTCCTGATAAGCTCTTCAAAACTTTTAGCTTAATATGAAAGCAAAAACAAATGAGGCAGGTCTGTTAAACTCTTCCTTACTTAGTTTTTGGAAAGATAGTAAGACAGCAGCATGATTTATTATTATTCCGTTTTTTTGGAAAGTGGAAAAAATGTATCGATAGGGTTACCTTAGTTATCAAGCAAGTCTAGCTCTTTTTGTAAGCAGGAAACGTAATAATGTTTACAATGATTTTAAACTACCAGCAACTGATTTGATCATCTAATTTTAATTTTTCAGCTTTGAATTTGGTATTGTGGATGAGGATCAGCTAGATCTGCTGGAAGAACAGTTCAATGAATGTAGAATGTAACTTTTACATCATTAAAATATAATTTAATCTATTTTTCTTATATTTGTTGCGAAAAAAGCCGTCGCGCACTATGACCCTCTTTTTAATTTTCAAAAGAGGGTCATAACCCTCTTTCAGTATGTCCAGGGTTGGCGGGTATGTAGATGCCTGTCTGCAGACGCAGCTACATATCATGCAGGGTCATTGGTTTGGACATCGGGAGTCATACATATAAACTTTTGTTTTCATTTTTGATGATATATATTAATCTGGAAAAATAATCAGAACGGTTCATCTCTTTTCAATTTTCACACATTGATGGAAATCAGCAGGAATTTTGAAGGACGGAAAATGATATACACCTAACTAAAATATTGTACAATACATGTATTACAGACGCTAAAATATTGTATAAATATATAAACATAAGGTATAAAAATATTGTGTTCTCCTTTTTTTGGCAATTTAAAAAAATATAAACAGTATTTTTTGGTTAATGCCAATTAAATTGAATATCCGTTTGTACAAATCCGAAGTTTTGATATATTTGTTGAAACCACTCTTCATTCCTTTTTCTTAAAACTTCCAAAATTTACAACTACATGTAACATATATAAAGTTTTCCATCGTCTAAACACCAATGGAATAATTTACATAAATATAGGTACTATCTGAACATATCTTACATCTATATAATTATGTCCATACACTTACATGGTTCTCATCTCTCGCCCTTTAAATGTTTCATCTCTCTCTCTATCTCTCTCCCTCTCTCTCTCCAAACTTCTTCATCTCACTCTCCTCCTACACACTTCAAAGCACTTTGCATATAACTCAATAGCATTCTATCCTAATTTCATGTTCATATATTTTCTACAATATAACTAAGGGCATCACAGTCTCTGTTGTTTTAAACAAAGTTAATCAGCAATTATTTTCTATATCATCAGTGTTTCATCATCCTCAATATCCAGGGGTTACGCTCACATTCACTCTCTACACCCCTGGAATAGGTCTCATCAACAAGGTGGCACACCGAGCCTTCAATTTCGCTATGACATATTCCAGGGGTGTACAGAGTGAAAGTGAGCGTAACCCCTGGATATCAAGGATGGTGTTTCATATGTGCCCTGCAAAACAGGTGCTTTCCTTACAATCAGAATTAAATCCCTGAATACAAAAATGTTGAAGTTGGAAAATCTGTAACACATGATAACAATATGTGTGACAAATGTAGGCAGGAAAAATGAAGATAAAATTGTACACCATGATTCATACGCAGTAAACCAAATAAACATGGCCACTGTGGATTCTTATCTCAGCCTGTTTCAATTTGTCCCTTTTTATCTCCTGAATCAATTATTTATGTACCAAAATTGATACTTGTACCCTAGAGTGATTCAGTCTTTACCTTATGTAAAGTTGTTAAAGGAATTCCGGATCTGTCTTAGTAAACACTGTGTTCACACAGAACATATGTTGATCTTGTCGTAATAAAGCGAGTGTTGACCCAAAACAATTTATAATAGTCTTGTCTCGGTAAGGATCATGATGAGACAGAACCTATTGTTGACTGATCAATTATCACCATACATCACCAGAAATGTAAACTTCCTGATATCACTTCCATTGTTTCTGTTCAGTCTATCTCTTGGTGACTCTTTTTCTATGTCTTTGTCCCACCACTCCATCACTCGTATCGTCGCCTGGGTGATGTTCTTTCACTCGATCCCCTGGCCTAGCGATACTCCTTCACTCGGTTTCCTCGCCCGGTGATGCGTACTCCCCGTCTGTATCGGTAAACACCTCACTGTCCGGATTATCTTCTCCCTCCATCTTGCTGTTCTCCATATCTCCCCTTTCCCCTCCTGTGTCCTCCTGGTCCACAAATCCTACTTTTTTCACTGCTGAAGTTGAAGTTTTGGGTTCATTTCCCTTTCCATTTTTGCCATCCTTGGATTGGCGTTTTCGTTTTGGCATCTTCCATCCATTCCACACTCGAATAGTTTTATCCCAGGAACAGGAGACGTACTACAATATGTCAGGAGATTTAAATACAATTATAACAAAACATATAAAACATTACAACAATTTGTTAGGAGTTCACAGCAAAACATAAGATCTGGTACATATACAAATAGAATCTTATTGTTTATGAAACATGTACAACCTTGTTTCCTAAATAAAAAGTTAAGAACTTAAGAACTAGTAATGACTATTGTAAATTACATCAAGATAATGCGCTGATTTCCCACATACTTTGAATATGCATCACAATATATAAAATGAGAAACAAATTTAAGAAAACTCAAACATGAATCTTTCTTATTCACGATATAAAGACATCACTTGCAAACGTAACATCAATGACTGACGGTACGAGGACTGACCTGATTACGCTCAGGAATATGTATGATACTTCTAATGGCGTCTGTGTGGCCCTCATTGGTCTGAGCCAGTCTGTAGCTCTCTGGGTCATACACCCTGTAATTATTTAGGAAAACATAATTTCTCTTAAATGTGTTAGAAGTTAACTGAAAAAAATATGTGTTGATTTCTAATTCTTTATCATCATTTTCTCCAGACAAGAAGATTCATAGAGTACCTTTCTTTAGTTATTGATTGGTTAAGGAAGTAAATTTTAATTTTTTAATTTCTTGAGAGTCATTTTACTTGATGTAATTCTGTGACCATTTTTGTGAAACATTATACCTGATGTATTTCTGTGCACCCACTACCAGTGCTCCATTTTGCATGTCAATACACAGACAGCACACACCACCCTGGGCCGACAACACTGTCTCGCACTCATTTAGACCGTGCCCTGCCTAGAAAATAAAAACAATCAATGGATTTTAAAATTTGTGCACATACTGAACAGTTAAACCAAATGTCATCACCCTGGTGGCTACAGACCAGGAATAATCATAAATTATAAGCTACGTTATAACAGGATTCAAACCTGGAACCTCCAAACCTATACACTACACCACTCTATACCCCCCTGGTGTTACTACACGAATCTGTTACCAGGTCACGAGATCAGCCCAGATCTGCTATAAGGTTTAATACTTATAAGCATTTTGATGTTGTGCCTATTCAGTTCGGATAAACATTGTTGCTGCTAGTGTTAGATTGGACAATATTCATACTAAAATCTTTTATTTTCGGGTTTTCTTATGACGGCCTTTTTAAGGTTAAATTGTATAATCATTCATTTTTTTTTTTTTATAAAAACACCAAAAGTGATAATGTCCAAGATAATAACTAGATTGATATATAAGAAATGAAGAAGTAATCATAAAAGGTGAATTAAACTGATTTTATGCTATGAGAACCCAGTTGTTTTGGTACATTCTCCCTGCCCCCCACCCTCATCTTGAACATTCGTTTTAATGCTCTGCTAAATGAGCACAAATCTAATTTAGCTACATATTGTTTCCAAATACAAAATATGTCTCACCCAAATCCTGATAGTACTATCCTCTGAGCCTGTTACCCACGATCCCTTGCCATGAGGATTCCACCTCACACAGGTTATCTCCCCTTCATGGCCCTGGAGCGTGTTGACGAGGGTCATTTTGGCACCGTTGGTATTAAACTTCCTGATGTAAACCATCTTGTCACTGGAGGCGTAGGCAAACTCATTACTGTAACAGAGGAGGCCAAGTTTTCTACCATTACCTGGACTAGTTCTGGTACATCTACAGTATGTCACATACAGATAACATCTCAAGTTGGTAATACATTTTCTATAGTAAGTTTGAAATACAAACAATTGAATGGAGAATCGTCATACTACAGAACTTATTACTTCAGTAAAATGAGTTAACAGTGAACTATATAAGGTAGACAGTAAAATGAGTTAACAGTGAACTATATAAGGGAGACAGTAAAATGAGTTAACAGTGAACTATGTGAGGTAGACAGTAAAATGAGTTAACAGTGACCTATGTAAGGTCGACAGTAAAATGAGTTAACAGTGAACTATATAAGGGAGACAGTAAAATGAGTTAACAGTGAACTATGTAAGGTAGACAGTAAAATGAGCTAACAGTGAACTATGTAAGGAAGACAGTAAAATGAGTTAACAGTGGACTATATAAGGTAGACAGTAAAGTGAGTTAACAGTGAACTATATAAGGTAGACAGGAAAATGAGTTAACAGTGAACTATATAAGGAAGACAGTAAAATGAGTTAACAGTGGACTATATAAGGTGGACAGTAAAATGAGTTAACAGTGAACTATATAAGGAAGACAGTAAAATGAGATAACAGTGAACTATGTAAGGAAGACAGTAAAATGAGTTAACAGTGGACTATATAAGGTGGACAGTAAAATGAGTTAACAGTGAACTATACAAGGAAGACAGTAAAATGAGTTAACAGTGAGCTATGTAAGGTAGACAGTAAAATGAGTTAACAGTGGACTATATAAGGTGGACAGTAAAATGAGTTAACAGTGAACTATCTAAGGTAGACAGTAAAATGAGTTAACAGTGGACTATATAAGGTGGACAGTAAAATGAGTTAACAGTGAACTATGTAAGGTAGACAGGAAAATGAGTTAACAGTGAACTATATAAGGGAGACAGTAAAATGAGTTAACAGTGAACTATACAAGGAAGACAGTAAAATGAGTTAACAGTGGACTATATAAGGTGGACAGTAAAATGAGTTAACAGTGAACTATCTAAGGTAGACAGTAAAATGAGTTAACAGTGAACTATATAAGGTAGACCTCTTACTATTTGACAGAGTAGTCCATATCCATGATGACGCCATCACAGGCCAGCTCCATGTTCTCTAAGTTAGTGCTCCCCGTGTTTCTGAATGTGTCGTGTAAACTGCTCATAATAACAAAAAAATAAAATAAAGTGTTGTCACATGTGTCTATTGATTTCCAACCGACTAAATGTGAATTTACAAAATACACTCTGTATCTGTCATCAAATCATACATCTACATATAACACTGTTAAGGTCAGAAATAAACAGAAAATGTTAGCTTAAAATCCTATTTCCTTGGCACTCGTCTCCATATGACCTTCACTGCTGTAAGAGTGACAAACCCAAAACAAACCAATTCTAACATTGATTTATTTACAATGTAAAGCAGATATACATTAGAATGTTTAACAAGAATTCCAAGTTTAACTCACTCTCCTGCCTCCAGATCCCACAGACAAATCCTTCGGTCCCAGCCTGCACTTAACTGTAACAAATCATATGTACAGCTATGTATCCAACACCAATACAATCTCATTGTTAATATTACAACACAGGTATTACAGCGATATAATCTTACTCAATATTCACAACGAAACTTTTCATATTAAGTTTCATATTAAGTAAAGCATGACAATTTAGAAGTTGTCTTATATCGCTGTGTGGTATCAATATGCAGGTGTTCAGGACCTAATTCACCATGCCTGGTGGTGACTTTGTTATTAATTCTGAATTTCTCAAAATATTTGTTTGGCACATATTTTCTTTCATACATTTTTGTAATGAAAAGCTCTTTGGACAAATGAGCAGCACAAATCTTTCACATGTACAGCTGGAATGCCACGATGCCAATACTCTACAATGCTACTCAGCATGCACGTGCTCATCATAATGGAAATACTTTGATTCAAAACAGTTATAAAATAAACAAGTTTTTATTTTACTTATCACATATGTGGAGTTGAGACCCTGGTCCCTCCCTATCACCACTAGTCTCAGTCCTGTATAGTACTCACCACATATGTGGAGTTGAGACCCTGGTCCCTCCCTATCACCACTAGTCTCAGTCCTGTATAGTACTCACCACATATGTGGAGTTGAGACCCTGGTCCCTCCCTATCACCACTAGTCTCAGTCCTGTATAGTACTCACCACATATGTGGAGTTGAGACCCTGGTCCCTCCCTATCACCACTAGTCTCAGTCCTGTATAGTACTCACCACATATGTGGAGTTGAGACCCTGGTCCCTCCCTATCACCACTAGTCTCAGTCCTGTATAGTACTCACCACATATGTGGAGTTGAGACCCTGGTCCCTCCCTATCACCACTAGTCTCAGTCCTGTATAGTACTCACCACATATGTGGAGTTGAGACCCTGGTCCCTCCCTATCACCACTAGACTCAGTCCTGTATAGTACTCACCACATATGTGGAGTTGAGACCCTGGTCCCTCCCTATCACCACTAGTCTCAGTCCTGTATAGTACTCACCACATATGTGGAGTTGAGACCCTGGTCCCTCCCTATCACCACTAGTCTCAGTCCTGTATAGTACTCACCACATATGTGGAGTTGAGACCCTGGTCCCTCCCTATCACCACTAGTCTCAGTCCTGTATAGTACTCACCACATATGTGGAGTTGAGACCCTGGTCCCTCCCTATCACCACTAGTCTCAGTCCTGTATAGTACTCACCACATATGTGGAGTTGAGACCCTGGTCCCTCCCTATCACCACTAGTCTCAGTCCTGTATAGTACTCACCACATATGTGGAGTTGAGACCCTGGTCCCTCCCTATCACCACTAGTCTCAGTCCTGTATAGTACTCACCACATATGTGGAGTTGAGCCCCTGGTCCCTCCCTATCACCACTAGACTCAATGCTATATAGTTCTCACCACATATGTGGAGTTGAGACCCTGGTCCCTCCCTATCACCACTAGTCTTAGTCCTGTATAGTTCTCACCACATATGTGGAGTTAAGCTCCTGGTCCCTCCCTATCACCACTAGTCTTAGTCCTGTATAGTACTCATCACATATGTGGAGTTGAGTCCCTGGTCCCTCCCTATCACCACTAGACTCTGTCCTGTTTAGTACTCACCATATATGTGGAGTTGAGACCCTGGTCCCTCCCTATCACCACTAGTTTCAGTCCTGTATAGTACTCACCACATATGTGGAGTGGAGACACTGGTCCCTCCCTATCACCACTAGTCTTAGTCCTGTATAGTACTCATCACCTATGTGGAGTTGAGTCCCTGGTCCCTCCCTATCACCACTAGACTCTGTCCTGTTTAGTACTCACCATATATGTGGAGTTGAGACCCTGGTCCCTCCCTATCACCACTAGACTCAATGCTGTATAGTTCTCACCACATATGTGGAGTTAAGCTCCTGGTCCCTCCCTATCACCACTAGTCTTAGTCCTGTTTAGTACTCACCACATATGTGGAGTTGAGACCCTGGTCCCTCCCTATCACCACTAGTCTTAGTCCTGTTTAGTACTCACCACATATGTGGAGTTGAGACACTGGTCCCTCCCTATCACCACTAGTCTCAGTCCTGTATAGTACTCACCATATATGTGGAGTTGAGACCCTGGTCCCTCCCTATCACCACTAGTCTCAGACCTGTATAGTACTCACCACATCTGTGGAGTTGAGCCCCTGGTCCCTCCCTATCACCACTAGACTCGTCACACAGCTGTTGTGCCCAGCAAACACATGTTTACACACGAAACCTGCCACACGATTTGTCACAGAGTCACCGTCCTGTAAAACAAGTCAATCACAGACAAACATCAGTACACTGTACAGTAACTAAAGATCTGATGTGGTCATTAGATTTGTAGTGTAATTCAAAAATTAACTAGAGTTGTTACTGTAGGTTAACCAGGGGACCTACAGGGTAAACAAACTTGGAACAGAATGTAAAGTTGTTTTTGTAATCTACATAAATCAAAGTTATACTTTTGGTAACAAAACCAATGCAGGTAATTGGTGAAAGATTAATCTAGGTATCCAATTACATTTTGGGTAGTATTCGTTCATAAAATCGAGAATTTGAATTGGTTTAAGCAGTACTATCTACAGATCACTTGTGGCAGCACTAATGATAGTTGTTTGGACGGTACTTGTGATCAATTGACACCATTATAAAACAGAAATATATTTTGACAGTTTAATTGTAAGAGGGAAAAGCCTGCCTATATATGCAGTGTACAAAATACTGAGTATTGTACAGAACACTCCTCAAAAAACCTCATCTCTAGAGTATAAGTAATACTGGGTATGTTACAAAAACGGTTTGGCTCTTGATTTGCTTCAATTACCAAATCACAACAAATTGCTAATATTTGCTTTATTTTTAAAATTCTAGAAGTGATATTTGTTGTCATTCTATATAGTCTAATCCATCTGTATAGCTGTGTGGTAAACGTTGAGAGAATGGTGTATGATGACCTTCCTACCCCTTGTTTGGCATTCTGTGGCAGTAGGTCTGAGTCGGAGTCGAGGAGGATGCTGTATTTACTGATGAGTTTCTGAAGGTCCTGAGGCTTCATGTGCTGGAGAGCTTTCACTGCATCATCATCAAACCCCCAAACATCTGTCAAAATCAACGGGTATCGCCTAAAAACATGTGTCACACAATTACATAAACCCCCAAACATCTGTCAAAATCAACGGATATCGCCTAAAAACATGTGTCACACAATTACATAAACCAACCACNTCAAAAGCTAAATATACAAATTTAGCAACATTTCTTAATTTATCTTTATTTCCAGTTATTAACATATATTTTGCTTAAACATGTCGCCTAAAAACATGTGTCACACAACTACATAAACCAACCACACATTAACAAACACATATGTGATCCTAACTCAACACATAATGTGAGAAGTTTCTCATCAAGTCATGAGGCTAACTTTTACTTAGAAATAGATGATTACTGAGGATGTAGATAAACAGGATACTTACAGACATTACTGTCCTCGGACGCAGCGATGATAAAGTCCAGACTTTCTACAAAGATGATCTTGAGGATGGTGGTGTTGGCGTGGTTGTGGGTGGATACCTGTAATACAGTTCAATGGTTACCAGCATGTATGTGTTTAATATATACCAGACCAAACCTCTCGTCAGCAGCCATCTTTTCTCTACAACATCGTAACTGAATAGAAATACGTAATTTTGTTGGTTCTATAGTGAATTGTCATCACTGATAAAAGATCTTTTGTGTTTGAAGGTAGACAAGCTACACATGTAGTGCACTATCCTACCCATAGGATATCTATTGTAAATGGGCAATGTCATTTACAATATGTGAGGCAAAGAGTGATACACAATAAACTTGTATCAATACAAATAGTACCATCAGTCCTGATTGAGCAGTTATATATATATTTCATTTATTTTGGTAATAAAACTGAAAAAAATGCAAGAGACAATATTAATGGGACACAGAAAATGGAAAAGTTCGTTAATTCTACTGTAAATGTAAACAATGCTTGCAGAAAATTACGATTCAAGCAAAAAAGCAGCACAATGTAGTATTTTAGTTTGTCAGTCAACATAATGGAATTTGAAATTGACAAATTGAAGGCATCACTCCCACATTTTTTCTAATCTAAAATGAGTTATCAGCTAACAGCTGATACAGATTTGTACATACTGTTGGTAAGTCTACTTTGGCTAAAACACCAACAATTCATTAAACCAAAGCTTCTACTTGAGACTACTTGAGCCAAACTAACACCCATTGCTTAAATTGCTAATAGCCATAGCTTAGAATTACATTCTGCTTTCAACTCCATTAGTTCAGAGATAAGAATTTTGGCAAACTGTTAGCATTCTTAGTGATTCTGATGAAAATACACTCCTCATAAACATAACCTTTCTGTAATAATTTTTAAAAGTGAGACAAAATTTAAAGCAAGATTTATATGGTTAGTATTCTATAGACAAAAGTGAAACGGAAAAAAATAAATAAAAATGCAATTTTGATCACTGAAAGTTAAAGACTTAAAGTAGCATTATCACTTAAACTGGCACAAGAAGTAAAAAATAAATAAGTTAAAAACATGTAATACATTGTCCCGAAGTTCCCACATCATTTAGAATATAAAGAAATGTTTGGAACATAAAATGTTCTTTTTGAACACTCTCACCAGACTTTTCATTGAAGGATAATCATAAGTACGCGTACGTTTGCGACGCCCCTCTGTCTGTGAAATAAGCATGGTATTTATTTAAAGCACAAGCAAATGATCAGTGAACTGTGATAATTGTCTGGCCTGGATACATGGTGTTGTAAAAAGTCATCAGCAATATGATGTACACTGTAAGCATGTGTGTCTATAGGGCAGTTAAATACTTAAAGGTATTCATGTCATCACAGCTATTTCACAGCAACGTTTAAACACCATTCATGCTCCTTTGTTAAGCTCATGATAATCACAAATTGTAAGTGAAAAAAGGTTTCTTCATTGATAGACATGGGACGAAATATCTTAATGCTGCATTTGTACAAGTTTGAAGTCAGCATCACAGCAAGAACATCAACCTTTATAGAATTTCCTTGATTACACTCGTGTCTTCAACACTTCACAGTGAGTTACTTACAGGTGGAATGCTGGGTTTGTTGAAGGCATAGTGACTTTGCACACTCCTGTTGCTACTCCTAGTCTCGGGTCGAGCCGTTGCTGGCCGGGAGGGCAGGCTCTGACTCATCTGCTGTTCCAGCATCAGTTCGCGTGCCTTACTCCCCGCCTTACGCTGCTTCCTCAGCTTAGAATCACTGAGCTGGTACATCTCTTTACTACAGAAATAAATCCATTCAACTGATTATCATTAATCTTCTAACAAGGATATACAATATTTCATTTCAATACTACAGAAACAATTTGTTTCATATTTCTGAAGTCAAACATAACTGAAGTTATTTCGAACCACAAATTTTAGGATCCCAGACTCACTGCATCGGGATTTTTATATTTACAGTTACCTCCCCTTAATTTCGTTTTTCGATATAAGTGTATCACAGCTGTGCCAGGACAATTCCATTGAGAAGATAGTTCAGTCAGTTAGAATCTAGAGTCTTTTGTCTGATTTTCAGTTTAGCACAGATGGATTTTACAATCTTTACATTGTTAATTTTTTTTTTACTTCATCTTTATTATTTTTTTACTTAAGTCCTACAAGGTACGTTTTTTTTTCAGAAATGATTTATCAAAGCTACAGTCATGCCAGAGAAAACCCCAATAAAGTTGAGAACATACTAACTACTAATTAGAAGTGCATTCACATTATACACATTCGTAAAATATATCAATGTGACTTCATCAATTGTCTCCTAATACAGCTGCTGTTTATCGTTAAGACGTGACTTGGAAATAACCACATATGCAATGCATGGTAGTACACAAAATACAAATATGACAAATTCTACAACAAAATGATATTAAGGAGTGATCACAATATTTATCAAAAAACAGACAAAGCTGTTATATATGAGTCTTTTAGACTTCAATCCAGTAAGTGTTTGATTCATGGATTTTTGGAAGAAAAACAATGCTGAAAATTTAGCTAATTGATCCCCTTGGACCCTGTTTTACAGAGCCTGGCAGCTTAGTGTTAGCTTCCTGAGAACCCCTTACTGAAATTAGTTCTGCAGTTTTTGAGAAGAAGTCTTAAACATGATTTTTTTAAGGACAAACAAAAGCCAAGAGGCAACAAAACTAAGTCACATGATATACATGTACTGTCTTACCTGTACATAAAGTTATCTACCCGTACATAAAGTTAACCTACCTGTACATTAAGTTACCTACCTGTATATAAAGTTAACCTACCTGTACATAAAGTGGTTTGATTGCATACGTTCCCATTTTATAATCACACCCTCATTGTCCCCACTGAACAGTAGGATAGGCACTTTCTTGGCTGGTAATGGAAAAGACAGACACAACTGTTATTGTAACTTGTAGGATCTGTTGTCCAGGTCATGATCATTCAGACATTCCATTTCAGTCAATTTTATCTCTGTTACAATAAACTTTAGCAAATTTTGACTGTTCATTATAAGTTCAATGTATAGATTATAAGTGGTGCACTGCTAAAGTTATCCAGCTTGTAATAACTGGGCTTTAAGAACTGCTATAATTGTACCACAGGAGTCTCATGGTTTTGTATAAATAATAGTGAAAGTAAAAGTTACCAGAATATATGTTTTCTGCATAATTCATTGTCATAATTTATACCAAGACAAAAAGAATTGACAAAATACCTTATCTATATGCCTTAAAATATGTAAATCAGATTCTTTAACATCCTGAACAACATTTTTTCTATACATACGATGTACATGTACTTGTATTTACTGTAACAAAACTGTGGAGAGCTTGTACCTACTGTAACAGAGACTTTCTAGAGAGCTGCGACATTTCAGTGCAGTAATACAGCCGGAGGAGTTGTATTTCCACACCACCAGGTGGCGCCGACTAGTGGAAGCTGTAAATATGGAAGAAACATAATTATATTTATTACATACGTCAGTGATCATAAATCTTATAAACATTTGTAATCAACATGTCCAACAGAAACTCTATACCCAAGGGGGCATAACAGCTATGGAATTGTGCACCTCCTGATCATGAGGTACAGAAATATTTGCAAAAAAGTTAAAAACCTAAATACTCACCAACAACTTCATTTAATTCACCAAAATATTTAAGCATCTGTAACTGATATTTTTCTTCTTCTTGCTGCTGAAAAGTTCCAATGAAGTCTGAAACCTGTAAAAAAAAGAAAGTGTATGTCATATTTACAATCTGATCATATTACAAAAAGTTTAAATCTTCTATTTTTAAATGATTTTCCAAATATTTTACAAATTATTTATCAATCAGAATGATACAAATTTCTTTTATTTGATTTTTTAGAATAAAATTGAAAACATTTGTCAAGGTGAAAAAAAGATGTTCTCATGAACAAATGATCTGCCTATGATTTTGGAGACAAACTAATTGATCCTGTTCTTACATTGTCCCCAGACTTGGGATCAAAAAGACTAGCGTAGGAGGTGCCGCCTGCCACCCAAACTGTTTTGTTACGTGGGACGTAACAGATGCCAGACACAGTTGACAGGAAGTTGTCAAGCTTGTGTACGGGTTTACCATCCACTGACCAGATCTTCACACTCTTGTCAAATGATCCTGTTAATATCCTGTCAACAAAAGTCAAACCATTACATTCTGGATACTTGTACAGGTTCTATGTCCAGGATAGACACAAACTGAATATCCTTTCCTCAACTCTACCCTTCCATTAAGCATATATGCCATCATCACACAGTGTTATCAAAGAAGGGAATCGATCACAACAGCCTCAAAGTAGGTATTCAATTTATTTGGTAAATGTTGACCAGTTTCACTCCATTGTAAGGTTTCTTCAGAACTTTAATGCTACCGATATGCACTGTTAAACTATATTGTAAGGTTTCTACAGAACTATAATGCTACCAATATGCACTGTTAACAAGACCATATTGTAAGGTTTCTTCAGAACTATAACTCTACCAATATGCACTGTTAACTATATTGTAATGTTTCTACAGAACTATAATGCTACCAATATGCACTGTAAACAAGACCATATTGTAAGGTTTCTACAGAACTATAATGCTACAAATACTCCCTGTTAACCAGACCATATTATAAGGTTTCTTCAGAACTATAATACTACCAATATGCACTGTTTACCAGACCATATTGTAAGGTTTCTTCAGATCTATAATACTACCAATATGCACTGTTTACCAGACCATATTGTAAGGTTTCTTCAGAACTATAATTCTACCAATATGAACTGTTAACCAGACCATATTGTAAGGCTTCTTCAGAACTATAACTCTACCAATATGCACTGTTAACTATATTGTAAGGTTTCTACAGAACTATAATTCTACCAATATGCACTGTTAACCAGACCATACTGTAAGGCTTCTTCAGAACTATAATTCTTCCAATATGCACTGTTAACCAGACCATATTGTAAGGCTTCTTCAGAACTATAATTCTACCAATATGCACTGTTAACCAGACCATATTGTAAGGCTTCTTCAGAACTATAATACTAACTGTTAACCAAACCATATTGTAAGGTTTCTTCAGTACTATAATTCTACCAGTATGCACTGTTAACCAGACCATATTGTAAGGCTTCTTCAACTATAACTCTACCAATATGCACTGTTAACTATATTGTAATGTTTCTACAGAACTATAATGCTACCAATATTCACTGTTAACAAGACCATATTGTAAGGTTTCTTCAGAACTATAATTCTACCAATATGCACTGTTATCCAGACCATATTGTAAGGCTTCTTCAGAACTATAACTCTACCAATATGCACTGTTTACCAGACCATATTGTAAGGCTTCTTCAGAACTATAATATTACCAATATACACTGTTAATCAGACCATATTGTAAGGTTTCATCAGAACTATAATTCTACCAATATGCACTGTTTACCAGACCATATTGTAAGGTTTCTTCAGAACTATAATTCTACCAATACTCCCTGTTAATCAGACCATATTGTTAGGCTTCATCAGAACTATACTACTACCAATATACACTGTTAACCAGACCATATTGTAAGGCTTCATCAGAACCATGCTACCAATATACACTGTTAATCAGACCATATTGTAAGGTTTCTTCAGAACTATAATTCTACCAATACTCCCTGTTAATCAGACCATATTGTAAGGTTTCTTCAGAACTATAATTCTACCAATACTCACTGTTAATCAGACCATATTGTAAGGTTTCTTCAGAACTATAATTCTACCAATACTTCCTGTTAATCAGACCATATTGTAAGGTTTCTTCAGAACTATAATTCTACCAATATGCACTGTTAACTATATTGTAAGGTTTCTACAGAACTATAATGCTACCAATACTACCTGTTAACCAGACCATATTGTAAGGTTTCTTCAGAGCTATAATTCTACCAGTATGCACTGTTAACCGGACCATATTGTAAGGGTTCTACAGAACGATAATTCTACCAAGATGCACTGTTTTCCAGACCATATTGTACGGCTTCTTCAGAACTATAATGCTACCAATACTCCCTGTTAACCAGACCATATTATAAGGTTTCTTCAGAACTATAATACTACCAATACTCCCTGTTAACTAGACCATATTGTAAGGTTTCTACAGAACTATAATGCTACCAATACACCCTGTTAACCAGACCATATTGTAAGGTTTCTACAGAACTATAATGCTACCAATAC